GAATTGAAGAAGCACCCTCCCTGAAGGTTCCGTTATCACATCAGAAATGGAGACCAGTTGACTGAAAATTGTCTGCTTTCCTTTGAACTCATTTATCTGGTTCTCAGAGAAAGGTTAGTTGAGATCAGCTGGAAACAGGCATGTGAAAAGATGAACAGACCAAATCTAAATCACCGAATTCAAATACGGAAGGTTTGTAGTAAAAGCTAAAGAATCTCATGATAGAGAATTTTCCTCTAGTGGTTTAGCAGTCTGAGCTTTTAGATCCCTGGCCAGCCTCACACTCTGTGTTACAGTTCAGTGTGTGTCTGCTGGTAAACAGGACTGGCAGTGACAGTCCCGGCTCTAAAGGCTTAATGTGAGGGGAACTGGACTCATCCTAGGGAAGAGTGCTTGGGGATTGTGGGCCATGGAGGCAATGTAAGAAAAACAGGGCTCACCAAGGACCTGGGGCAGCCTGGGGAAGGTGGGGAAGGGATTCACAGTCACAGTCAGCTAGAGGACAGCACCAGGAAGTGAAGGAGAGTTGCATATGGGGCTGAGACTAATGCAATGTGGCCCATTTTTGTTTCATTGTTTTGGGGTTAGACAAATATGGTAGAGATAGAGGTAGAGGTAGAGGTAGAGGTAGAGATAGAGATAGAGATAGAGAAAAAAATATATATATATATACACACATATATATATTTGGTTTTATTTTTTTTTCCAGTGGGAAGAATTGTTTGCTTCATTGTTTTCAATACTCATTAAAGCATGTTTCGTTCACGTGTCAGATGCAAAAGGAATAATGCCTGCATTTGAATCAGCTTTTTAATATACGTATCCCCTTTTTCTGATTGGTAACTTTGGAAGGATGAACCACTTGGATAGAAACAAGTAAAGAACTTTCCCAGATTGGTTGCAGGAAGCTGTTGTTCTGTCAGCTGGTTTTGTTTCGGTTGCATATTGTTTTCCTGGGAGAATAAGTAAGCTACAGAAAACAAACCAAGAAAAATTAGAGCAAACAATACCATGTTGACTAAAGAGAACATGGGTAATGACAGGGCTATGTGTGAACTGTACGTAGGGATTAAATTCTCTGAAAATGAAAATGGAAAAGGTAGATGAGGAAGCCAGTGTGTTTTTCCCATGGGTTAAGGGACACAGTGAAACTTTTATCTTTGCCTGGCATAACAATAAAACACACAATTTATTGTAGATTTGAGAACTTTAGAAAATAAATTTGTATTTCTAAGCATCAACCTCAGTAACTATGTTCAAGGGAGATGTTTTTAAGTGATTTTCTTTCATTTTAAGATGCTTAGCATCAGAGCATATTTTCCTATACCATGTGTCTAGATTCATTTAGAGTATGAGTGAACTTTTTCCCCTAAGTATCAAAAATTTCTTTAGCCAGATGAGATCCCATATATTTTTGCCATCTTTGTACCCATTTTCAAAAGAGTGAATGTTAGTATATATATATACAATAACAACCAGAAGTCAATGACACTCAAGAACACTATCATTCAAAAAATGGAAAACATAAAAAGGAGAAAGCCCATTTTTATCCCTTCTCATTGAAGAGTAAATGTATAAACACAAGCAATTCTCACTGTCACACTTTGAAGTATTTTTCCTCTATGACCTTCTGGGTTGGAGGATTTTCTGTGTAATGGTTATCAATGGTAAAGTGAAAAGAGACAGCAAAATCCATCAGTGAAAGAGAAGGGTCAACTCAAATCACAAGCATTCACAGCAGCAAGTTAGGAAGAGACAAATCTTACTGAGTAACTTGGGCCCCAAATGGCCACGGGGAGCTTTATTCTTCCTATTCTTTTCAAAGAAGCTGTTTTACACATGACGGTTCTTGCCTTCCACAGTTCTCTCCAGTAGCTGCCTGTGGATTATTTTCTACTTACTAGTGAAAGCAATCCTGCTCAAACTGAGAGGATTCTGAGCTCCACTCCAACATGAATGGTTTGGATGTTAATAAGTATTTGACGGTGTACACCCTTTACATCAAGATAATGGAGGCATAACATAGCAGGAGACATTTATTTTTATTCTGAAGGAAATTGAGAACAGTAATCTAAAGAAGAATTGGTCCTGTGTCAATTACACTAAGAACAGAATGCATGACAGATGCAAAAATTCAGATTCAGAGGCACTGACTGGCCATAGCAGGGACTAAATTTGTGGTATTTGAGACTCAGTAACATGTATACAGTTGTTGAAACTGTGGATGTAGATGCTGTGGTGTAAGTCTAGACATTCCCCCAAAGCTTCAGGTGTGCATTGGTGGGGCTTGGGGGAGCTGATTTGATCATGAGTTTGTAATATTCATCAGTAGATTTGTTCACTGATGAATTTATAGCAGGGTATGATGTTTGGAGGTGAAGCCTGGCTGGAGGAGGGTGTCACTGAGGTGTGGAATGGAAGGGTCTGTCTCCCTCCTCCTCCCTTGATCACTCTCTGCTTTATCCCTGCCAAGAGCTGTTTCTCCTCTGCCATACCCCCCTGCCATGCCACCGTGCCTTGGAGCCAGGTGTCTAAGCACTAAAACCGCGACAAACTATGAGGCAAAATAAACCTTTCCACCTTAGAGGTGTAGGTATCAGCATTGTGGACAAAAGACACGTTAAAGGAGTGTGCTCGGCAAAAAAGAAAACAAAACAGAAAGTGAAACCAAAGAAAAGGACAATTTTAAGAGACACAGAGGACAGTGAAGAAACTGCACATTGAGCAGCTAGGGGTCATAAACAGTAATCTCAAGATAAATTTACTTTTGTCTTTCCATGGCCCTTTGTATGTGGTGTTGTGGGGCTAATTTCTTCATCTCCCACCTGGAGAGGCAGTGCGTGGGTCACAGAGCATTCCTGGCATTTCTAGGGTCAACAGAGACTCCTAGAGTTACCTTAAATTGCAAACCACAGATTCAACTCAGAAAATCTCTTGCCTAGTCTTATATTAGTCAAGTGAACCCTCCGACCTTTTCTTAAGGGACAGGCATTTTAAAGCACAGTCTTCCCCCTTTTGCCAGCTAGGACATGGGGAAGACAGCAAGTGCCTAAGTAGAGCTGGTGGCATGGTGGCCCCTGCCCTTTCCTTGCCCACATCTTCATTTGCTCCCAGTGTGTGAGGGCTCAGCCCTCCCAGGCTCACACAACCCAGGGCAGGGTGCATTGCGGGCTTTGCATGTGTTTAAAGCCAAGTTTTCACTAAAAGGATGCTACCTGGTGATTATTTCATTGGTTTCTGTCCCAACACAAAATATCTCTCCCCTGGAGTTTGTTCCATCCTAAGGATTTGCTTACTGAGTCTGTAGCCTGCGGGAATTCCAGGCTTTTCTCTACTCAGCCTTTATACCTCCCAGGCTGCACTCTGCTTAGCAACTGAGACAACCTCTATGTCTCCCTTCTCTGTGGACCCCACACGGCCCTTTGATGCACTCAGGAGTGTGAGGTATGAAAAGCATTCTCTTTCTGCCCAATCTGCCAGTCCTGCCAGATTTTCTTTCCCAATGCAGATGGACATCTGAACCTCACCAGCTAGGCAAGGGCCCCTTCAAGGGTTCCCAGGACCCCTCCAGGGGAAGCCGGTCCTCTGATCTCATCCCCTTCACCCATCTTTATCCACCTCATGCCTGCATAGACCTGCCCTTGTTGTGACTTTCAAGACTAATCTAACCAGTTCTTGGTTGTCTCTAGTTTGAAGGTTCAGCAGATATGCATTAACTCATGTGAGGGCTTAGTGATGATGGGAAGAAAAGGAAATGAAAAGAAGAAAGCCACCCCTTCTAAGTATCAGCAAGGGAAGAGAGTGAGGGAACAGAGCACCTTCAGAGCTGAGAGTAAGGCAGGAGAAGGAAAGGGAGTAGGGTAAAGGTACAGAGCATATTATAGACAGTTGTCATCAAAGAAGAAAGATTTAGGTAAAAATAAGGGGAGGACTTGATGCAGGAATGCTCAAAGTGAAGAAGAGGGGGTGAACAGGAGACAGAAAGGGAGGAGCAGAGTGAGAGGAGAAAACAGGAGGAAAAACCATCAGTGCAAGCAACAGGCTACCTTTAGAAAATAAACTATATGCAGTGTTCCTAGGACTCCATAAACAACTGGGAGTGGATGAAAATGTAGGTAGTTGGAGGTGGGGAGGAGATAACTAGAGATCTTCTTCCCTAGTTCTGTTTTGTCCATAAGGCAGAGGCTTAGATCACCCCAGCACAGGCTGGGGCAGGAAACGGGAACTGATGAGACCTGTAGAGTCTGAAGGCGCTGAGAGGAAGTGAAGAGGAGGGGTCTTTGCAGCCAGGCACCAGGTGGTCCCCTGTGGGGTCCTCCTCCCATCCTGAGGCTCGGGCCCCAGCAGAGGCACACAGCAGGGAAGACTGTGATCCTGACCTGCCTGCTCAAGCCAGTAGAAAAATGATCCTCTCCAGAATCCAAATGGTTTTGCCCAGCTTGGGAGGAGAAGACAGTCAGGGAGGGGGTTCACTAAAGAAGACCAGGTAGGGAGACTGGACAGAAATTCAAAGAAGTCAAGCATCAGGCTTGGTGACAGGCATAGGATGAGAGAATCAGAGTGATGTCCTTCCTTCTTCACTCTTCCTGTACTTCATCAGTCTAGGTGAATGTTTCTGTCCACCCTGTGAGCCAGGGGAGGACTCCAGCATCAGCCAGGCCCACTGCAGACTGAAAGATCAGAGAACATGGTTCTGTAAGCAGTGCCTGGTCCTGAATTACACTGAGATGAGGAAGGAGATGAGGAAGGATGTTATCCCATCCAGTATTCTTAGATCCTAGTTCAGGGACCATCTATCAATATACAACAACCCACTCTGAAATACTCAGATTGCCGTTATGTTTAAGATAGATGCTGAAGAATCAAAAACATGTTGATAAAAAGAATGTTTTTGGTAGAAGATACTGCTTTAGTACCTGCCAAACACTGATAGCAAGGACGAAGTAACTGCAGATACAACCAGACAAAATATTTAATTATTCCTTCTTATGAAAATTTACCTTCCAGTCTGAGGGTCAAACCCAAAGTAGTGGTCACTGCATTGGTCACAGTGGTGCCCAGTGATGGACGCATCCTGGCAAAGGCAGTGTCCGGTTCGGCCATCGCAGATGTGACCCGCTGCTCCTGTTCGGTGGCACAAACACTGCAGGCAGCCTGTGGCATTGCCGGGAGCAATGTAAAAGCCTGGAAACAAGGAAATGAAATGTCTTTACACACACTGGGTCCAGTCTTCTCGTAAAAATATTCCCTGATTCTGTGGAAAAACAGAACACACTATGTTGCTCTACCTCATTCCCAGGACACTTGTAGTTATATTTGCTCTGAATGAACATGTCAATTAGGACCAAAGAAAAACTAGGAGGTAATTTGCATTGCCCTTCATGATCTTTAACTGGACACTGGCCCTCCTCTAGTGGTCTCCATTGTTATGAGTGGCACTGTGTTCTCCTCGTTTGCTTATCCAGAGACGTCTGTGATACAGAAGCCAGTGGAGATACAGGATTCTTCGTCACATGTGAATGTAACAAGGATTGTTTCTGTAAAAATATGTCTCCTACGATAGTGTTTGTTTATACTGTCAAATCATTGCCATCTGAAATTCAAATTTAACCAAGCATCCTGTGTTTTGTTAAAACTTGCAACATTGGACTCCTCCGCTTCCTTCTCTCTACATTTGGCAAATTTCCAAGTCCTGTGGATACTGTGTCCTGAGAATTTCAGTCCTGCTGCTCTCCACCCTTACCACCACCTACCTAGTGAACACCCCCACCGACTTTCTCATAACTAACGCCGCCAGGCGTCGGCACCAGAATAGGAGCTTATGTTCTTTATCTCATTTAGTTCTCAAAACCATGTGAATAATGCAGGTATTATTTACTTTTATTATTGTTGTCATTGCTTCCATTACATATACTAGAAAGCCGAAGGTTAGGGAGGTTAACAAACTTTCCGAAACTGATGGAGTTAAAAAACAGCAGACCCCAGTTCAAACTCAGACCGTTCACTCCAGTGGCCACATACCCAGGGTGTCCTTCTGGCCCCTCTGCTGTGTTCTTCACAGTGTAGTTGGAGCAACCTTCCCCAAAGGAGAGTTGGAACATTTGGTTGTTGTATTTAAAACTATTTGATGATTTCCAGTTCCCTTTAGGAAAACAAACCTAAATAGCTTAGCACAGCCTTCAGCCCTAAGTCAGGTCCCGCACACTACTGCCTTTGCCATTTCTGACACCTGTCACAGTTTACAGACTCTCTCAAATGCTTTTGAAGTTAGCTTTTGAAGTTAGATCTCATTTCCACCAGACTGTAACCTCCACAAGGACAGGAACCACATCTGCAGAAGTTACCCCTGTCCCCAACACCCAGCACATTGTTCTCACATGGTGTGCACCCCATAAACATTGAAGAATTGATGGAAACTGACCAAATTATTCAATAGGCAGTGAGTGCCATAACCACTACACTTAACATAACCAATTTAGAGGTTTAGGTTATTTCCAAAGCTTACATTTTTTTCTTATAGGAAAAAGAAAGAAAGAAAAAAGTGATTCATACATATATCCAAGTTCCTTAAAATGTCTTCTAAACAGAAAGTGGATATCACAAGTTACAAAATGAGAAAAGCATCAGATAGTGGAATAATGGAGCAGGCACAGGAGGGAGGAAGGTTCCTCAGTGTTGTGTGATATGTGTGCATGGGTATGTATATTTACACATACATAAACACATATACACACTTACATAGATACACACATACAAAATAGTATGTGGAATTTTATTAAAGAAGTGTGAGAAAGATTGCAAAAAGGATCTAATGAGCAAAATTGTGGCAAATGAAAAATTATTCATATAGTTATCACAGTCATTAATTGAAGACATACAAAATATTGGTCATGTGGAGGAGAAAGGGAGGAAAGTGATTCCTTCCGTATCATCTACTCTATAGGGAAAAACAGAGTAAACAGGACAGCTCCCGAATTTAAGAACCAAATTCACTCAGCTCTAGATGAAAACAAACCATTCTTTCATATTTATTAGCAATTATTTTGTTTTCCTGCTCACAGGTTTTGTGTATTCTCCCTCAGACAGCTCCAAGAGCAGTAGAAGACATTATGCTTAATAAGAGGAAGGAAGGAGGCTGCGCCATTTGGATAGAATTGACTAACATGGTCTTTTTTTAAAGTAATTTATAGCCTGGTTATGTTACAGTGGTGCCTCGGTTCACAACCTTAATTCCTTCCATGGTTCTGGTCACAAACCAATTTGGACGAGAACCGAATCAAAGTTAATGATTGATTCAATGTCGGCCTTGTGGGGAAATTTGATCTGGCCATTGTCCAATTCGGTTTGCAACCAGAATCATGGAAAGAATTAAGTTCACTAACTGAAGTACCACTATATTTGCTGGTTGGCATTCCTTGACAGCAATTCATCATATATAATTTTTGCCAGAAATAAGAGTATGGCCATGCCAGTTAATGTATATTCTCATATCTGATTCATCATGTGATCCATGACAAAAGTTTAAGAAATCTTCTTTGGATTCAAGACCACTGTGGTTGCATCACTTTGCATTTTCCTTCCTGGGAATATGTCTAGCTCCTCACATCCATGGTGATGGTATCATGAATGTACTAACAGCTCTCCAATTTGGATAAATTACCCATTAGTATAGATACTTAGAAGTGGAATTAATTTGGACTTACTGTCATAGCTTTAGGCCACAGAGAATTCCGGACCAATTAAGTATAATTTTTACAAGAAATGATTTATTAGATAAATCTGTAAATACAAGAGGGTATTTTGGGGTGCTGGAGATTGGTCAGAATAATGCATGCCATAGGAAAATCGGAAATGTAACCAAACAAGAATCAAAAAGTGTCAAAGCAAGCAGAGGTGGCGCTTCGAGGGAAAGGCTCTGTGGGGATCTGCCTTGGGGTTAATGCCCTCTTCTTCAGAGGAGGGTGATTAGAAAGGTTAATCCCACCAGTATTTTAGTTGTCCTATTTTTAAGTAGTCCTAATTAGGATGACTCAGGTAACTTCCTGCTCAAAGATTACTTCTTGCCTTACCTGAATGTGCCTAATTCTAGACCATTACCTCTCCTTTTATGGCTTCCAACTATAGAAAACAACACTTTTCCCTTCCCTCCTGCTAAAACTTCATCTCCTGAGTGTGGCTCAAAGACAACTGACCTTAATTTCTTCTTAAACTCCACATACTCCAGCTCTCTCTCCATGAGCTCTGCTTCACATTCCCCATCTCGATTACTGTCTTGGTTTCGCTGATCTTTTTGAGGTTTCTGCCTATTAATGATTTTACCCACTTCCCTAAACATGGGTCATGAGGACAATGTTACTGCCTTGCATTATACAAGGCTGAGAGTTCAGACATAGCACAAATCAGCAAATCGAAGTTGATTATTCTCAATTTTTACATTAGCCAACCGCTCCTCCCAACAACGCAAATCGCAGGGGAAGGCGGTGTGCCGTCCACCTCAGCAGAGGGCCAGCATCACATAAAACAGAGCCCAGAGTTCGGTTACCAGAGAGGCAGCTCGTGTGGTCTCCTGTTGTGGCTGTTTGCTCAGCACAGTACCTGTCCTGGACATAAAGGAAGAGCCCATTTCGTAGCAATGTTCCTCTTGAGGACCATGAACAATTAGGGGTTTTCAGCGTCTTCAAATGGGAGGAAGAAAACAAGTTTAACCTCTGGACTGTATTCAGAGAAGGAGAGCAGTGTGAAGGCTAAGCACTAATTACATGCTATTTAGAAGAAACTACGTTCACCTCAAGCCGGAACACGGACATACTATTAAGAGCAGAGTCCAGGGAGGGATCGGTGAGTCACCTATCACAGACACCCGAAGTCTATTTCAGTAAAGGTTGTACATGTCAATATTGTCAGAGTGGAGCGGAGTCCACGGGGGCAATTTTCAAATTAAAACAGTAAGACATTTCCTCCAGTTGGTGGCTTTAATAAAAAATAATGCTTAAATCAAATTATTATCCAGAGTTGCCCAAATGTCAATGAATGAATAAATAGTAGCATTCATCCCCAGGTAAAATTTCTCTTCTTTTTTTAAAATTAACTTTTCTCTCATTAAATTACCTATGCTTTACATACCCTGCCCTTAGTCCTTATTCCTGGGCTACTCTTCCTTCTGTGAGTACCTTGTCCATTCATATTTACTTCTCCAACTCAGGTCAGGACAATTATTTTCTCTATGTGTCTGCCACCCTTTTTCCTACTCAATACTGTACACTTCTCAAACTGCACTCATTACTTTGTGTCACACTGACACAGAGGTCAGTTTTTCCTACTAAACCCTAAAGCCTGAATACATTTCTAATGCTTATCAAATGTTCTCTTCTAAGTCCCTCTTCCCAGCCAATCCCCAGAATTCACCCCGCTTAATTCATGGAGCTAAAACCTTTGCTAGAGCCCCCACTTTGTTTTTTTGTGATGCATCACCTCAAATAATTAGAGAATGACTGTTTAAAACAAATAATTGAGTTATTCAGAAAAAAATCCTATTCTTTCTGAGTACAGATTCTGAGATAAGATAAACTGAGATTTAGTTAGAAATATTTCTTCTACTAAATGAGATTGCATTTTCTCTGCTATAAAGTAGGAAAAATAATGATCTTCCTATGATAGAAATATGGGGACGATTGAATGGAAGTTTGCAGGTAATACCCCAGTACAAATTCAGGCACACAGTAGGCATCCAGTAAATATTTTTGCGGGGAGTGAGGTGCTGGATATTGAATCCAGGGACTTGTGCATGCTAAACACACACCTTTACATTAAGCTACAGCCACCAGCCCCTTCTCCTAATGAGAAAAACAGAGGGGGGGTGCGTAGGGAAGGAGGGGGGTGGAGAGGGGGGGAGGAGGGAGGGAAGAGGAGGAGAAGGGAGAGGGGAGAGGAAAGGAGAAGTGAAAGAAGAGAAGAGAAGAGAAGAGAAGAGAAGAGAAGAGAAGAGAAGAGAAGAGAAGAGAAGAGAAAGAAGAGAAGGGAAGGGAAGGGAAGGGAAGGGAAGGGAAGGGAAGGGAAGGAAAGGGAAGAGAAGAGAAGAGAAAGAAAAGAAGAGAAGAGAAGAGAAGAGAAGAGAAGAGAAGAGAAGAGAAGAGAAGAGAAGAGAAGAGAAGAGAAGAGAAAAGAGAAGAAGAGGAGAAGAGGAG